CAGCCTCGTTGCTCTGCTCTGGACTCAGTGGTCTTAGAAATCTCCTCCAACCTTGATGAGTCTCTGATCTTATAGTAAGTAGAGAAAGGTTAAAATGCTCTTTCTGAGAGCTGATTCAGATTATTGAGTTTCCTCTAGTTGAAATAAATGGTTGATGTTAAGTTTAATGCTGTGGATGCTTCTTCATAATCATCTTCACAGGGAAGGTGACAATAACAAAGACAAATTTTGGATCTCTCTGCTCTGCCTTAAGTGACACTAATACCTGAAGAACAGGGAGAGCTTTGAATCTTATCATAGCATATTTTGAAGCCATCACAGCATAACAGAGATGAAAGAAACAGCTGAACTCAGAGAAATCAGTAGGAGTGAGTGTCTGTGCCTGTGCCTGTATAAATAACCTCCTCCATCCTCCCAAAGAGGGAACTTTCTCCTTTTGGAGCTGTTGGCTTGGAAAGCAATTTGTGCTGAACAGATTTGGAACATTCAGTTGATGTAGTACCTAAATTCTTGTGAGAAGGAGAATCCTTTAGGCTCTGTCTGCTCTCCAAGGTGACTGCAGCTGTTTTCTTCTGGATTCCATGGAATCATAGAACCATCAGGGTTGGAGGAGATCTCTAAGGTCATCGAGTCCAACCATTAACCTGTCACTGCTGGAACCCCCAAACCCTAACCCAGATCCTCCAGTGCCACATCAGACACCTCTGAAACACCTCCAGGGATGGTGACTGCACCACCTCCCTGGGCAATATCTCAAGGCCTCAACACCCTCACAGGGATAGAATTCTCCTTAACATCCAACCTGAACCTCAAATTTTTGTTGTCTCAGGCTCTGTGTGATGTTGGGTGTAGCCTGAGAGCTCTCACTGGAATAGCTCCTCAGCCAGACGTGGGTAAATCTGGCACACTCTCAAGGCAGGAGAGAATCCATGATTTTTGCACTGTGACAAACCCCAGAGGCAAATCACCTCTTAGTTTTGTCCATGCAAACCTCTCTGGGCACATTTCCCTGCACAGGATTGACTGAGCACAGGGCTCTGAGTTATCAGCCAGCAAGGCAAGTCTTCCTGACCAAGGTTTGCTTCCAGCCTTGATTTGTGCTGGGTTTGATTAAATCCATCCTTTTTGAAATTGAGAAAACAGAGTGAGGACTAAAAATGAAGGTTTGAATCATGAATTATACAGGAAAATGTGTGTTAAAGGGAAATATCCTCAGTGATCACATGGCTCAAATTCTAGCTTGGGGTTTTGGTTAGACTCCAGCCAAATGTCTGCACATTTTTCCCTTTTAATTAGTCATGTATATCCCAATGTGTCTGAAGAGTCAACTGGTTGAATTGAGTGGCTCTGACTGCAATTCCTTGGGAATTTCTG